GGGGGGGTCTGTATTGAGAAATCAATTCGAAGGGGGGGGGGGTTGAATTGAACTATCAATTATTAGACCCGGACGCGCCGACACTTGCTTCGCAAGACAAACTCTAGGTATCCCCTTAGGGGCTACCTTTCGTGACATGGCAGGTGACCATCGGGCGATGGTTTTGGTCGGCAAGCAGCGATATGGGAACTGGCACGAGAGGCTTGGAACATATGGGAAATTCTTGGAAGGTCAAGTCCAAAACCTTTCTGAGTCGTGCTGACACAGCAAGATAAAACGCCCCTCATGCTGCAAGGAAATCAAGCAGGACATGTTGGACTCTCAAACATTTTCTCCCCCAGTCCCACTTCCTGTTCCCAGTCTCTCTTTGCGGATTCTTCGAGACACAAAATGTCATTGCCCAACCTCAAAGCGACCGACAAGCAGCTTGACTCATAGCAAATCACATGTGATACAGGCACTTGTGTGCATATATCGGTATATGTCAATATAGTAGGCTATGCACTGCACAGATGATTGTTGGCATGCACACACATGCATAATCATACAAATACACACAGGCTCACACAAATTTGCCTGTGAGATCATGTGCCATCCTGTGAGTGTGGCATAACTCGCGCCTCCTTTGCCCACACTGCAATCGCTTGCACAGCTTGTACGTTTCAACAGGATTCACCAAAACATAGAAGAATCACCGATAAGGAACAAATGAACAAATACTTACCTGGCTATAGAGAATAGAACGAAAAACCCATCCGTTCAAAAGGACAATGAACTTGAAATGAAGAACTTGTGGAACTGATAGCTGTACAGTGTACACTTTTCTTTGATCAATAGAAGTACTTGGACATACTGGACCGTTGAAAAGGGTTTTTCATTTTGCACCAAAAACACCACCTCCTCCCCTTACCTGGGCAATAGCATGAGTTTTCACAGTTCTGGTTTGCTAGATAAATGATTTTATGATATTTTATGAGTAAAATGACGCCATTCAATAACGCCACTGGTTCCATCTCAACGTGTTCCAACAACCAATAAAGGTTTGCGGTTTGCGGCAATCTATCGGACAATTTACCACTCACATCCACTCACACGAACAATCAAAACAATCAATCGGCATCAGCTCGGCTGATTTTGATCTTCTTAGCACAAGAATCACCAAAAGTTGTTGCTGAACCTAAACAATCGGTCTATCACGGTCTATCCACTACCAATTTGTCGAAAAAAACGGCACCCACCTGCCGTCCAGGTGGCTGCGCATCAATCTGCTGAGCGGTTCCTTGAAAGTTGGAGAGGAAACAAATGAAGGCCACCTGGCCAGTCTCAGGCAGGTTTTGGGGAAATGGTGGAGACTGGTTCAAGCGGGTTAGCAAATGGTCGCAACAATTCCCAGCTGCATGTCGCAAAATGGATTCACTTTTCTACCTGGACCAAAAAACCTTGGACAGGATCTCTATGGAAAAATGCTCGAGGTCTTTGACTTGGTAGCCAGCCCTATTAGTCACAGTGGTACCCGGGTCTTGGAGCCCTCGAAGAAGGAAAACAGTCTCCTCGCCGCTGCAGACGGACAAAACGACTCACACCGTGTTGATACAGGATGCTCTGATGAACAAATTTGATGTGGATCGTTGACGGGATCACAGTCATATAAAGCTAAATCATGTTTCGATCAGCATCTTGGTCAACATATGTCAATGTTGCCTTGTCTTAGATGCAGGAGGCTTTAAAGTACCTTTAAATAGACATCAACAAACAGGAACCTGCTCTACCGCACACTCGTTTGGAGCATGGAGGTTCGACACTGATGAAATTGCTCTTGCCTCCTCCGCCTCCGCCTTCATTCAGAATTAAAAGTGCAACCATGCTCCGACAATCTCCGACATATTCCAGCTGCTTTTCTTATATAACCCAAATTCAATCCCAAATAAGCATGCGCGCTCTTTTTGGCTACTTACCTGCGACTGACATGACTGCAATTGCAAAAGCATCCACCAAACAGTGGCACATCAAAATGGTTGAGCTTCGGCTTTTGCTGCACAGAAGTGTTTTTCTCCCTGTCCTTCGCTGTTTTCTGATCACCAACAAGGGCTCACCACCAAACAAGCGACGACGAATCGATGGACGCTTTGCCCCGAAAAGCGCCTCGCTGTGAAACATGGATTGCAGAACGTCCTCGAAAAAGTTCTTGGCATTCTCAACCCAGGCGTGGGAGATCATCCTCGAAGGTAGCAAGTTCAAACGAACGTCGAGAGGATGTAGAATCAAAATCGACCAGTCGACGAGTCGATTGCGTCGCAAGCAAAATCTTGGCTTCAGAGTAGATGGCGCAATCCCCAAGATGTCGATAAGATGTCTTGTATATAGGGGTCCATACAAACAACCTTTTGAATCCTTTGGAGGATTGTGCCATCTACTCTGAAACCACTGTAAGTGTCCATAGAGATCCTGACCTCAATTGACCCGACATGTTCGCCATGGAAACAATGGCGACGTGTCATCAACCCGTACTCAATGAAGGAGAACTACCGACCACACGACCGACTGGCATCCCGCTAGGGCCCACTATACTATGGTCTACTAGTATAGTTCCACACAATTAACATCATGTCACACCTCTTGGAGGGTTGTGAATGGTGTGAACGATGCTCAGCGCAAGCCTCAATCCTGGGCTTGCTCTCTCGGCCCATCAGTGAGTGAGTGGGTGCACGCGTGCGTCATGATCGCCAAAGGGGGAATCCTGCATTCCTACATGTTCGGCAGGGCTCAGCTTAAATTGCAGTGTGTACTCTTGATTCATAGACGTCTAGATGATGTCTCCTGTGCACGTGTGTGTGTGTGTGTTCTTACTGTTGCCTCATGTTGCCTCCATTTCTGCGATGTTCTCTACGTGCATGAAGAAAAATGCCATGGCAATGCCATGTCAATGCATGCCCGGAGAACAATGAAGAGTGCCCAACAACCATAGACCGGAAACTCATAAACTGTTCAGTCTTTCATTTCCAGTCTATGTTCCTGACCAAAAGATCCAACAACATCATGTGCACTATCATGTGCATAAACCAAACAAGGGACCCGCCGAAACGAACGCTCCAGGGACCCGCCGGCCGAAAACGCTCGATTCACCGAAGCGTCAAGTTCACCTCTTGTGGGTCATCTTGATGCACCTCGATGCATCTGGCGGTTCGAGGTACATGTCAAATGGTTCCAGGTACATTCTGGGTGCCATCTACGAGCTCATCACGCTGATCAGCTAGAAGAAACTTACTGGGGTTCACATAAAAAAGCCACTTAAATAGCCATGGGGACATCAACCAATAGTCAAATTAAAAATGATGGACCCACCGTTGCATCACGTGGATCTGTTGGACCCGTCAAAGTTCCCGGAAGGTCTGAACCATGGCGGCCACGACGACTCTTGTGACCACGAATGGGACAAAAAAGAGTCTAAAATCCTTAAACAAATGGACACCATCAAAGAACAGAGAACAATATACAAAGACATAGAAAAGAACATGAGTCACAGCAAATATAACTCAATAATCAATAACAAAAGCAACAAAACAATCAAAGGAAAAACTCAAGCTGGGATCCGAGGCTCCTGCTACGATAATGGGTTTGGAAAGGCGAGGTGTGCCCAAACTTGAGTTTGAGCCTGGGTCTGGTTTTGAGTCTGGATGTGTTTCTTGTCACCATCGAACACCAACGGTAGAAATAAACAAAATCCAAACAACAAAACGATCCAGACTGCAAGAAACGGCCTTCGCTGGTCAAGCACCCAAATACCCACTTGAGTATTCCTACCTTTATCTTGAGTAATTGTTTGAGTCGAAATGTGTCTTTTTGTTCAAGGTTCAGTTATGTCCTGTTTGCTTTTTACTTGAGTCTGGTTCTCTGTCCTCCTTTCTTCCTTCTGCGTTTTGTCTGTCGTTTCACTATTGGTCTTTACCAGGCTACTGAGCTTCCTGAGCTGTCACAAGACTACTTCATTTACACATATGTAGTTTGTGAAGTATGATGTGTATATACTAGCACCTAGTATCTTCCACTCAAGGAATAATCCGGCAAGCACCCTCCCTAGCACATTTAAATAAAGGACTCATCAACATAGACTGGAAATGAAAGCCCCCCCGCCATACAATCGTCCACACGGTCAACCACACCCTGCCAAGACACCATCAACGCGTAGCCCATCTCGGTCCCTTCCGTCTGTGGCCTGACCTTGCGATGTGTTCGATCAGGGCACGGCAAACATTTGATGGGGAGTTTGAACAAACCTTTGCAGATATCTTAAGCTAGGTAGCCCCCATTCCAGTGTATATTCGTCAAGAGTCATCGTCAATAAGAATCAAGGTGCGTGCCCGCCTACTTCACTTCTTCCAAGTTGCATCAAATACTACAGGCTATGGCAATTGGCAGCACCACTTTGTGGTTCCAAGTCTTTCTTGTATGACTAAGAGACCTGTGTTGCGCGTGGTGCCCTCCCAAGCTAAATGCACCAAACATGATACACACAGAATCAAAACAACAAAACAACACACATACCGTACCAGGTTACATGAAACAGCATGGCAGGCTGAATGTCTTGGCAAAGCTCCGATTCATACTGCAGCTCCACGCATCACAAACAAAAGACACACACACAACAAAAACAAATACAAGAAACCTCGCAGGGAAACGCAGGGGCCCGGCATGTTGTATATGTTGCCCACCAAGATCAAACATACTGCTGTTCTCAAGTGCGCAATGAACTGACAACCTTCTGATGTTGGGATGACAATGGCCAAGGTCAGAACTCAGGATTGTTTTTTGACTATCAGACTTGAACTTCTCCCACATCTGGGCTTAGCATGAATGACCCTCAATCCCAAGCATATTTATGTATAAGTATAATCCAAACACATCATGTAATCTGTTCCTGACTAGCGTGCTCTGTAAGGTCAGCTTCATGCCCGCATACGCGGAGCCACGAACGAACCCGAAAACACCAACCCTCGCAGTTCTCGTGGCGTCTTGACAGCTAGTTACGCCCACCAAAGCACGGATCATCAGAATCATTGTCTTTTTTGTCTTCTGTGCCGTCCTTGCTTCTCCTATTCATCTCTAGGACTTTTGTTTAATACTCGTTTTTCTTGCTTAGTTTGTAGGCTGAGCTGAATACGATTTGGACTACTGCCAACTAAGACACACATAAATCAGCATAAATATCACCAAGCCTAGCAAGGCTGAAACGCGTCGTGACGAGTGCCGCACGAAGTGGTTGACAAAGCTGGTGACGTCCAAGTCATCCTCACGTCCGACCATGCGGGCGGCGGGCCGCGACGTGCGCGCTGCGCTTGAACGGCTGAAGTTTGCGTCATTCAAAGAGGTGTTTTGGTCCACCTTTCACAAAGCGAACCCTTCTCCATGAATTCATCTAATGCTTCCACTGAAATCATCAACCCAAGACCCAAGAGATGGATTGATCCAACCCCTGCAACATGGTAAGTGCTCGGCCTGTTTCCTCGAGCGCATAATCGTCGGTGTCCTGCCACATCTCATCGTTGGAACTTTGGACGTACAACGCCCGTAGCTCTCGACGATGGACGCCCCAGAAGCGCGCCGGAACCCACGTGCCATCCTGGGAGCGGAAAAGAAGCAGTGAAGGTGGTGAAGTTGAAGTCTGAGGGGTGAAAATAACTGAACTAGCAAAATTATTCTGAAGTATAGCAGGGGTTCATGATGGTTCATGATAATTATTGTTACACCGTGGAAGATTCACATGGAAACTGAAAACAACTGGGTTGTAGAGGAACATGGTCTTCCAAAGGTCCATTTCCAGGTTCCATGTTAATCTTCCCGGGTGTAAACAGTTTCATTGATGATCATTCTGTTGGATTTATATGTATACAGTAGACTCTTGGTATTCCGAGAGACTGGCAACGTAAGGCCTTCACAGGTGGGACTCATCAAACTACCATGTGCATCGATTTTTGCTGGTTTGAAGGTGGCGTCAAAATGCTTGGTTGAACACATGTGGGAATGCACTGAGATAAAAAGGGGATGTAGGCTCGACCCTCCCCAGTATGTTCTAAAGACTTTCTTTGTCACCCAGGGCCACTTTGACCAAACCGCATCAATCCGCTACATGCTTTACACCAGGGACTGAAATGGTCTGTTTGTTATCTTTACTGCTAATTCTATGATTCTGACATCTAATTATCAAATCTCTATAGGTCTGTCGTTCGGTTGCGATCATCTGTAGGTCTGCCAGGTCACCGGCAAGCGTTGTGGCCTAGGACCACCCTTGAGAGAGAGCTGGTAAGCTCTCTCGCCCTCACGAGCCAAAGCCGTGTGGCGACCTCGGCGTTTTGAAGGTCCGAAGGGCGGCTCAAGGCGGCTCAGCCGGGGCTCCGGCCCAAGAACCTCAACAAATACTTGGGGATCTCCCAAAACTGCGGAAGCTGTCAATACTTGGGGTTCTTGAAGCTTGACAAAGCCTTCAGTGGTGCTTGGGGGGGCTCCTTGGCACACCCACATGGATGTGTTTGTGTTTGTGTGTGTGTGTCACAAATGACTAATGACGCCCATATGTGTTGGACCTTCATTTCGAGACAAACTCATGTGAGCGGCGATCTAGAACCTAAACCTCTTACATGCGGATAAGGACATCAAGCATCGTGTTTTGTTCCCGACCCTATCATGTTTGAAGGTTTGCGTTGATTTTTCGAAGCAGCGCTCCCCAACACGAAGGCCGTCTTAAGGCCTATAGCTGCGCACCCACAGCGGCCACTTCTTCTTACTGACTGACAGAGTCGCACATGTGACACAAAGCATTCTATGGCTCTATTTTCCTTGCTACTCAGGCCCATGTGTGGAACACATGTGGACCTCTGGCCTTGTGGGCCTAAAAAATGCTCTAATATGGAGCAAAGTGGTATGGTTTTGGTGGCTGGCTGACTGGCTGATTCCGCCGGATACTCTTGGCGGCTGATACTTTGCTGGCTGGCTGATTCCGCCGGATACTCTTGGCGGCTTATGCTTTGCTGGCTGGCTGGCTGATTCCGCCGGATTCTTTGATAGCTCGCTGGAATGCAGGGTCAATAAAATTTATGCTAAATCCCTGCCGTTATGAAGCAACAAAAACAGGAAGGCACACTCTTAAGGGAGTGCAAAGGGTATATCTTTCTCAAAGCATCTATCAGACTATATATTATATATGTATCAAAGATAATGTTAAAATACTTGTCAAAATATATATTATATGATGTAATTAATCAAAATCGTATATCGTTGTTTGTTCCCGATCCTATCGTTCTTGAGGTTAATCCTTACTACCAAAACTAGCATGTTCAATCATGATGTCCAGCCTCCTCTAAGCCCGCTACACGAGGACTCATGAGGACAGGTTTTGATAGGCGCTCATGCGTGGGTTGGCTTTACAACAATGGATGTTGACAAGGGCGTCCACATACTTGAACTTATGCAAAGAGCTTTCCCATAATATATAGATGTGTTATCATGGCCAGGAGGTTGAGGCCCTAAAACAGTTTAAACACATGACATGAAAGGTAGAAACAACATTACAAAAGAACAACAACAATATTCTCAAGAAACACATAGTGTGGTAGCCAACGTCCACAATTAACCAAGGAATTCGGAAATTCTTTGTGGGGTAGCCAAAATATGTTGGAGGTTCAGAGGTGACTCTGAGATGAATATTCAGAGATCAAAGAGTCTGGCTACAAATTTGCTATCCAGGTGGTCAGGACAGCTTCTCTAGCCGTAAGCTCTATATTCGGAGAGAAGGGCAGCAAAAAACAACAAAAAACACAAGTAGGGCACCCAAGTGCCCAATCCACAAATCACAACAACATCTTGCATCACTCTGGGTCCAAAAACATCTCCTCAACCTATTCGACCTCCAGACCGTTGCCATAGCAAACGTGGCACGGAATTCCCAGCAATTGTTGCAGCTGGAGGCGGAGCTCTTGAAAAAGTGCTCCTGCCAAAGAGGCAAAGAGTGCCCCACTTCCTAAAACAAACATGAAAGAATTCATGTTTGTGTCACGTGAGTCTGTGTATATTGAGGATGTCCATGCTTGTCCAACAGGTGGAAGCATATCAGTGAGATTTGCAGGCGTGTGCCAGCCTGTTGCAACACTCATTTAGACCACTGCACTTTTTGGAACAAATCGCGCAACCCCACATCCTGAGATGGGATTTTCAGGATCCTGAGCTACTTACTTGGAGCCCGAAGGTTATACCTTTCAACACCCTCGTCCCGGTCGCATTCACCCGAACCCGGGTCGCAGGAACTGGGCTCGCCACGTCCCGACAAGTCCTGTTGAATGGTCATATGGGACTCCACCTGATCTAGAAAGGCATTCTTTGGGGGTGACTCTCAGCACTACCACTGGGCATTCGAAGTTCTGGCCCTCAAGCAAATGGAGAAGAACTGCCAGGCATTACACTTCGACTCATTAACCTGGAAGTGGAAAACACCCCGTTCGTGAAGGACAAATCGTCATCCAAGTGTCCATGTTCCAGTTCGTTAAAAGTTATGGTCCTGGTGTACAATGGAACTGGACCCATTTTCATCCTTGTTCATGTTATCTCTGACCGGCTGCAAGTCCCCGGCTTACCATACACAGCATAGCCGTGTAGCGCGTACACCAAACTCATGTTCATGTTAAAGAGTGATTCCATGGACTCCATAAACAGAAAACACCGTTCACAGCCAAACTGCGTTTGTTTCGTTCATATCTTGCAAAAACAGTGATTCCATGGACCCCTTGCCCCTTTGTTAATACTAGGAGCCCCTAGTAGCTTCTTGCTCCTAGTAGTACGGCCAGGAGCCCTTAGTAGCGTTTTTGTATGCCCTTACCCTTTGCTCCTAGTAGCGTCCTTGCTCCTAGTAGCGATGCCAGGAGCTCCGAACGTAGCGATGCCCTTGTTCCGCCCCTTTGTTCATGACAGCCCGTTGTCCGGTCCTCTGAGTCTGACGCACTGCTGCTCTCCGGGCTCTCTTCCTAAGGCCGACCAACATTGACACACATAAACAACGGTGTCAAGGGCTGGTTATACACACATATTATATAATATATATATAGTCTATGTTGTTGCATTATCATTGTGTTACATCTAAGTCCTGCATCTCCTGGGATTTCCACGGGCAGTGGTTTGCAATGCTGACGCCAGTGGCAGCAGAACCAACTGGAGCAATGTGGTTGGTGTCGAAAATGGGGTGTGAAATCGACTGGGTAAACAGGGATCAAACAAAAGGGTTCTCAAGGCAACAAACACGGTTCCACCAGGTTTCACCTGCTTTGCCAAGTCTCACTGCTCTGCTCATCTTTGAAGAGGTCAGAGGTCCAGTTGTACGCACCCGAGATCGTCGTCCATCCACGGCGCATTTGCCGTGTGATGCCTTTGGAACAGGCAAGTGCAGGCGCTAGCAGGGGGGTTCGGGGTTCTATCCTTGTTCTGATCGGAGGATCTTGATGTGTCTTGGTTAAACAACCTTTGTTTGATCGTCTTGATATGGTCTCAGCACATGGCACATGCAAGCAACCCATGGCTGAGTCCGCAATCTTAGAGACTGAGCCCCGGCCTGAGCGTGTCTCATCCGGTATGGTCCAGGCACGGCTGGTGGCATGGCGCATCACAGCCAGGATCAAAGGGCACAAGCCCTCCGCCCTTTCACCGGATCAACAAACCGACAACCCCCCAAGGATGGGCTGGTTTAGGTGGCACCCTTGTCAACGGTCCCACGGCATGCACCCTATCTCGACATGGACCCAGGTTACAGGAACAAACGAAATCTGCCAGCAAACGTGACACTTCTGAAATCCGGGCTAACTAAGTCTGAACAAACTGTAGGGACCTCCGGAATATGGCAGGACCCAACAGCCGAGTGCCTGGTGGCTTTCCCCTTTCACACCTTGGCCCCACGTACCAAGTTCCAAGCTTTCTTGGTTTGTCCTGGACGACGGGATTGAGAGTCTGCTCCTTTCCTTTCTTGTCTTCATGCGCTGTTTGGCACCTCTCTTGTAGCTGGCACCTCGTGCCAATTATATAGGGAAAAGCATACGTGCAACCTCCAGTGGTTTCGGGATATTTCTGACTGTTCTGTTGACTAGCACAAAAGCTTTAAAGTCATTGATCAATGTTTCGGCTCACGACTCCTTGGGCAAAACTCGCCGTTTCTGCGGGCAAAAAACACCAACTCATGCTTCGAGAACACATGCTTCGCCTCGTAGAGCAAGGCATCCGCCTCGTAGAGCTTATCGACTCATCGGCTGGTGCGGTTTACCGAGAATACTTATGACTCATGGGCATAACATCAAACCCCACGTCACGAGCTTCATGTGGTCTGACATTAAAAAGATACGTTGCCAACGCATGGTGCTGCAATTGTTTGTTAAGTTTAGTTGATCAACAAGGGAAACACAAACACATATAACTTAATATCATACACTAAGATGACACGTATATCATATTTTCGGAAAACTATGGGACAACGGAGGCTGCGCACAGTGTATTGTAAAGGACGATCATAGGGGATTTCAGGCACCTAAGACCTAAATGCATTTGCATTATTTGGCATGTATAAACCCAAGGGTCCACGGTCTACGCTCCAACAAAAAAACACGTGTTGTGTTTACAGGTATGGGATGAGATGGGTGTGGATTTGCTCTAGCCGGTGAATCATTAACCGGCTAGAGCAAATCCACACCCATCTCATCCCATACCTGTATAATTACAAAAGACAACGGTTAATTGGCTACCTGGATGGATAAGTACTTCGCACAAAGGTACCAAATATGCCAAATGCATCCAAATGCCTCAAGCCAGCCTTTTTAAGCAAGGACTCTGCACTGTCTGGTCCCTCAAGAAGGTGGCGCCACTGAACCAGGAAGCTCTGCAGTCATTGCCTAAACGGTACTCAAGGTTTCGGAAGGAAAAGCTCGTTAGATCCACCCCTGCGAATGAAGCCGTCCCCTGCGAGTCATGTGCCCGTCCCTCAAACACGGGACATGTTCTCCAAAACGCTGCCATGATAGCCAACCCCCTGGCCTCCCGCAATTTGATGCATAAAAGGCGAGCCAATTCTCAATGCTTACGCGACGAGAAAAAAAGACGTGTCGGGTCGCTCCAGAAGCACAAATGCCGAGTTTACTTCTATAGTTTACTTTTACTTCACTCAGCAATTTTTGGAGAACTGGCTTTTATACAATAGCCCTTTCAAGTGCTCTGTTCCTGCCACCATTAATGTTTAGTCTTTTCAAGTTCTGATAAGGAGACTTTGTCTTGCAGGTTTCGGAAATCATAGGTGTTTGAAGTTCTATCTAAAGGACAAGCAAGGGCAAAGAATCTGTCAAAGGGGCAAACCTTCATTCATGAAGCTTGAGGGGAACTTGATTCACCCGACATTTCACAGGTCCTTTAGTCAACTTTAGTCGATGGCAACGGGGTGAGTAATTTTGAGGCTGCAATGCAAACATGATCTCCAAGCAGCCAAATCAGCTGCCCAGTCTGGGGCGCGAAAACGCAAAAAATTGTGAAACAAGTGCACGTGTGCCAATGGCGATGGGGTTGGCGGCAACGCAATCAGCTGTCAAACGCATCTGGGTACGCTTGGAACATCTACCTGCATTCTCCTGCATTTAGCAGCATGACCACTAGCAAATATATAATATGTTATAGATTAATGATGCCCTGCATTCTCTAGTTTGGCCACCAAAGTCAAGCTCAAACCAAAGGAGTTTGCCGCTGTTGAGCTGAAAGTTGGCATCACATGTTGGCATCTCATGGGGTGGGAACCAAAATGCATCTCAAAGCAAATCCTCGCCAAAAACAAAGCGTGCCTAATGAACCAAACCCTGCCTTTGATAGCCATATACTGTCGAATACTATCGTGGTAAATCCATTTTGGAAACCCCTTCCATATGAAAAAGGGCTTCCGCCATGTTCACTGAGTCAACTTGCGCTTGGGCCGGTTCCTTCATCCTATGGGAGCAATGCCACTGCCAAAGGAATCTTGTGACCTATTACCCCCCGCAAACTAACATGGACCCTGAAAATGAACCCCTTTAGGCCTATTTATTCTCATCTACCACCCAGTGGCTTTCAGGGTCCATATTCATCGGCAGGAGTCGGCAACCTGATATAGATCATAATTACGCACTACAAGGTGGCACCTCCCAAATCACGAGGTGCACTGACCATTCCAAACCAAATTGGCAATGAAGCCTCGAGGATGCCACATGTCACCAAACCCGCTGGCCAGCTCGCCCACTGTTGGGCCGCCGTAACGGCTTCGCGCCCAGCAAACGTGATGCGGCCCGACCATGGCAGGTGAGAAGGACACACAGAGCAATCGTTGAAGAGTTGTTCCCCTTCAAGACCCCCTCGTGGGCAGCCCCATGAGACGAATGAAGGGAATCATCTTTGCTGGGATGTGATTTGTGCCATGGTTTAGAGTGTTGAGGCCTTCATCCGTGGCGAAAAACAATCGCCTTCTTACTTCTACATCCCTCTAAACGGTTCATGTGAACTACTTGCGGAACCCTCACACCGACGCACACACACAACAAAACACATCACTCAACAGCTCCTGCACAACGATTGCTGGTCTGGTGTGTCCTCCATGGAGGTGCCAGGCTCCCTGATGAATCTCAGCAAACGCCACCTGAGCGCAGCTGCTCCCCCGTGGAGCGCGAATTGAAACTACTCCACTGTATTTTTTGTCTTATTGAGGTCCCACTGTGTAGGTCACACACACATGTATAAATAAAAAGTATAAAGGTCCCTACATAATACACAAGTAACTTCCATACCTGATCCGCCCCTCTACGAACTTCAGCCACAAATAACACCAAACAACACAGGGGCTGGCTGTCCATTCCTCGGTGGTCCAGGCCAAAGACGGATCTAGAGTCCACCAAACAATTTCACGTGTTCATGCATTTTCGCGCATTTCCCCAACCACTGTGGGGGGCAATGTTTAGTTGGGTCTGGTGATTGGATGGTATGAAGTATAACTTCTATGCGACTAGGAGGCATCTGAGACAACACCGAACAGTTTCACCATGTTTCACCTCTGTGCCACCTGACCAGATGATATGACTGCAGCGTCCGTCGAGTCGAAGTGCCATGGACGAATGACCCTTGACGCATGCATGCGGCATGTGATTTTCAGGTCGGCAACGCAACACCGAAAGCACAGCCACTTTTCGAACATGCCTTGCAGTGTTCTTATTCTCTATGAGGGGAGCTCTACAGGTACGCCATGGTTCAAGTACGTGCACCCAGCTGCACGCGTTCGATTGCACTGCCAGGGCCGGCCTGGTATGCGTGCACTTCAAGAACCTCCGTGGCTCTGCTAATCGGTACCTTTGCATGGATTGTGGTTGCCGAAGCCTATGTGGTTTGACACTCTGACACTGGCCGCTCTCAACTCCTTCAAGCTGATGCATAAACGCAGCAAATCAAACACCAAATGTCAACAGTCCCGTTCAAATTCCCGCTCAAAATTCCACAGTCCCCGTGCTTAGGGGGTCACTTCCACTCACAATGAGAGCTTGCCAGACTCTCCAGGCCAAGCCATTAAAGGTTTTCATCCTTGGCAGGCCCTTCACTTCTGCAAAAGTCTTCATTGCCTCAAACATCTCTTGCCTGGAGCACCTGGAACCCATGTTCTCCAGTACTCTCGCCTTCCGCAGGGCTCCCTCGAGTATCTGGAAAGCGGCATCATTCTTGCTCACTTGCCATTGCCCATCAAATGCGGATGAAAGAAACACCTGTCGAAGCCTTGATTCAACATCGGAGGGCCTCTCCCCCCTGAGCTGGCAGCATACCTCTTTTCTTCAACCTCTGCTTGTTTCTGGCTGCATTCACGAAGCAAAGCATTGCTTCTGGGAGATCTGCATTCAGTTTATCATCCAAGTAACCTAAAACCTGCAACACCTGCGCTACCATTTGAGGTGAATCGGACAGCATGAATGGTCCACCGCCTTTGAAAATCTGGTGTGACAACGAATTCCCATAGGTTTGAGCTTTGGACTTGCCTCTGTGTGCTTGGCGCACAGGAAGTACAAAAGCGAGTTTCCCAAATTCCGCATAGTGTGTCCAGTTTGAAAGACCCGGTTCTTCACCCACAACTTCATGCATTGCTTCCAAGCTCATCAGAGACGGAAAAACGACCAGCGAGCCCAACTTGTTTGCATACCAGAATTTGGCAATGCTTTGAATTGTGTAACCTGTTCCTCCATACCCAAGGCGTGCAAGAAAATCTGTCACACATTTCGTGCGAGCATTGTACATTTCCTGTGACAAGTTATTTTGGAATGGACTTGCCAACTGCACTGAGCCTGTTCCGTTTTCATGAAGAAAGGCCCTGACTTTGGGACCCACATTATGTTCACAATTGGCTTTTAACCTGACTGTGTGAACACCGGCTGCCTCAAACGATCTTCCAATTGCTGTTTGCTTGGTAGGGACAAAAACTAAGCAGGTAGTTCCTGACCTCTGCACTTCCAGCATGGTATCGATGAAATCTGAGTCGGCGGTGATCAATCCCACACATTCCAGATCAAGCCTTGAGGCTCTGAGCAAGGCCTTGGTGATTGCGTTGTCATTGGCCTCGCACGAAGGATCTTTTGACCGCGGAACGGGTTGGAAATTGATGTTCATCTCACTGAAGAATTTTCTCCATTTCTTGTTGTGAGCTCTCTCAGGCGGTGCAAAATATGTTGTACGAACATGCCGGCCGTCGGTCTCCAAATGCCTGATCGCTTGACAAACTTCGTCCATGCCATGCCGATCACCATCCACCAATAACTCAGCCGAAGATAATGGGAAAACCGCCAGATGCCTGCCTGCATGATTGGATTGCCGCTGCTGCCTAGTCAAAGAGCCAAGGGCTCCAAGGCCAAAGACAGGCCATGACAGGCCAGTCCGTTGCCAGTGGCACCAGCAGCCAACCCCTTTCCCACCTTTTGCACGCCAAAACGCCCCGAAGCGATCGCAGGGGTGGGTTTTGGTGCTTCGAGGAGGGGAGGTCTGACAAATGAACATGTTGTTGATGAGCATGGGGTTCGGCTGGCACAGCATCCCAATCATGCATTGTTCCTCCAAGTGCTGCTTGTACAAATGACTTTGGGCCTCTGCTGGTTGAAAAGTTTTTGCAGGTTGAAGCCTGGATGCTGTTTGCGTTGATAGCACAAACACCAGGATTCTTTGTCCACATGCCACAAGCCCTGCTAGTAGGAGCAATGCACTGCGAGGAGCACGGACCAAGTGATTCAACGAGACTCATCTAATAACTGTGGTCCCAGTGGTATGAATTCGTGAATGGGATGGGATCGGATCTGGTCAAATGAAGCTGTTCTACTTTAAAGGTTAAAATATGTTAAAATGATAATTACATATATAGTTACAATAGACTAGTAGGAAGCCAATCGATATCACAAAATCGTTTCTATTGGGACCTTTGTAGTCCTCGATTTGCTCCTCCGCATCTGCAACTCAAAGTGGGTTGCAACCCCGCAGCCAGCACTTCTTGGATGTTGTCGCTAGCCAGTGGCTTTAAGACCAGCACGAGTACTGATAAATATTATACATAATCTTCCATCAACGTGGGCCCAATCTAATCCAAGCCAATTACTTATTTTTACTTCTAGAGCCCATCCATGTATATAAACAAGTTTGCCCAGAAAGGAAGTCCTAGTTTTGTTTGAGAGCACGTGGAGGGGCTTACCCAGGATTTCACCATGGTTTGCATTCATGAGCTCCCATCTCTAGCAGCCTCAGTAGCTCTGCGTCACTGATCAGGAACCCAGCGAAAACTGCCAGGCCTGCGCAGCTGCATGCACACAAACGAAGACCCTGAGTGGTGCGGCAACCATGTGTCTCCTACCACAGAATGACAACGAGGATATCATATACGATCAGGATGCCAACTGAATGTTGCTTCGAGGCTGAACCGGGAGAAGAAATGGGTCAAGTGCTGAACCGATTTACACAGCGGCAGCTTCAGGAATAGATTCTCACAGCTGCAACCCGGGTTTCGATCCGCAACTTGTCACGCCGCCGCCGCCGCCTAAATTGCCATCTGGCATATCTGCACAAATCAAGCACGCAAACATGGGTCATCCAGCATGTTGGATGTTCTGGAAACGCCAACGTGTCACATGTAGCAACATCACATGCAGGAAACTCACATACACACACTGGTGCAAATGCAGGTTTGTTCATGTCTACTTGTTTCTGCAGGTGTAGGCCTCAGGCTGAGGATGAGTTCACATTAATTACAGTCATTCTTTGGCCCGCTTCATCCAGAACCCCAAACCTGAAGTACAATGGGGAGTAAACCGGCGATTCTTGGCCTCGTGGACACCAAACGGCCAAGTAAACGAGACGAAATGATACAGTATTAAGTATTAGACTATAGATAGCTATAGAATATTATAGACATGTTACACTACATGTTATACACCTGTATAGTCTGATGATTGATAAACAACCCTACATTATAGAGATGGCTACATTAGCCGCTCGATTCCCCGGTTGGCATGGAACTTCCTGCCAGTGCCGGATCGGAATCACCGACCGCGCCTGCTCAACCCGTCGCTGGACACGAAAGACCCGTTGCTGGCCATGGGCGCTAAAGGATGCACCACACCTGATCATTCGCAAGGCGAGAACATGCCGGAGCGAAAGTGAAAAAGGTGCAAGGTCTTGACAAGGGGAAAAGAAAGTGGAACAAGCTTGAACATATATTATATATAGTTAATGTCCTAGCGCGCAGTGGTGCAACGTGTGAGAGTTGGACAGTTCCAATTTTTGGTTCAGCAAGGGTTCAAAAACATTCAATAACGATCGCCAGGGCAATTCTGTAAAGTGTCAACTGCTGATTGTCCCCGGTGGTGTCAGCAGCACGTGAATCTACCTTAATCTTCATGGGTTTGTTTTGGCTAAGCATTTGGCAATTGCTAGTCACGCATTCCGAGTCTCTGACGAAAAGAGGTAGGAGGGACGCACAAGGCACGAGAATGATTTCGGACTTTCCACCAGATTCAACAAACGAGACCAAGGGATCAACGAACCGGGCGTCCCGGGCTGGCGGCTGGTCGTTTTGGCCATGCCAGCCATGCGGCAATTCTCGCTCAATGACATTAACCTGATCTCCCTGTGAAGGTGATAGCCTCGGACCTGAGGCACCAATCCACTTCCTAAAGAGAAGAACTTGGAAGACCTGCATCACCTGACACTTCTAGATCCATGGAGATACCCCAAGGTGCAAGTTTTGCTAGGCTTCAAGCAGTGCGGGGATTCTTCCCTGAACTACACTAGGATCACAAGCCTTCCTAATATAGCAGAATAGTGCACTTATATTGGGCACTTAGTCTTTCTACATACTTCCCTGAACAATATTTCATTATAATTATTGTTCACATGTGTATCTTGGCTGCTTCTCAAGTGCAGAATCTCTTCGCTGTCGAAACCCTTCCGCCAAGGGACGTGATCCAGCGTCAAAGCGCCGAATAAGCGGCCTAGACGGCACTCTTCCTCAGCGCAAGGCCACTGCAAAAGCCTATGAGAAACCTGAAGGAGCACCTACACCTGCTTTGGGGGAATGGATATTGAAGGGGGCCAGGCTGGGCCAGGGGGCAAGTGGAGAACCCCAAAACTTGGGAATCCAGAGACAATAATGAATTACTGTTGAATCTTCCGAAGATTGGAGACTCCCACAGCCCCAAAAGCTTCCTTGTGCTTTTACAAACTGGGAAGGGTCATGAAGGGTCGGGGAAGCACAAGACTGATGTATGGTGCTCTTTCAAGGCACCTGTCGTTAGGTGCAATGTCGCTGGGCGTGCTTTGTGCTATTGTCATCGCAGTCGTCCTTGTTGCTGCTGCAGCCAAGGCTTGCACTGGTGATTTGGATTTTCGTTACAATCCTGCACCTAGTGCCCTGGTTCACATCACTGTGTTATCATGCTTTATCTGAGTCTAAATCGCTGCGCAGTGAAGGGTTCCTGTGACAAATGCTTTGGGTTCTTGCAGTTCGCTGCACCACGCTGTGGATATCGGTCCGAATGCCCTCGATTCTTCAGAAAACACCCATGCACAGTGTTCCGCCGCCGCCGCCGCCAACATGAACAAAGACTTTCAACTTGCATAGCCGGACAAACCCGGCGGCCAGTGCAGTGGTCTTGCTTGGGCCCTCCCTTTTGACCAATTTCGCATCTGATAGAGCGAGCATCAAGGCTTGGATAACGTCCTGCGATGACTTCGATCCAAAATAGCGGTGTCGCTGGTGTAAAAAACGACAGCGGTGCAGAAATGAATTGCTGGTCTTTGTCTCATCTACTGACACTTGCTGACTCGGTGTTGGAGTATCACTATGCTTTGGAATACGTTGGCGGTGTAGTTTGTGAATGAAACGCTATTGTTTGTTGGAGTATTGACAAGGTGTAGGTTTTGAAACTCCCCGCAGCATGGGTTGTGGTTCATGCAGCCGCTCTTGCAAGAATTCGATTTGGCCAATATGTTAGTCATCTGTGAAACCGATATCGGCCACATAGAAGCACCTGACTATCATTCATGCATAGCCATCGATGGGCAACCCCTTGGTCGTTCATACTATACGCATCTATACCCCGTGTGAGTCGAAACGATCGGACCACAGGTGCCACAGCTCCTCTGGCTTGGCATGGTCCCCAAAGTTCTCTTCGAGGTGGGAGAAAACCTGAGCCGTGTGACCACCGTTGGGGGTCATTCCACTGGGGCTGGTGGACATGGGCCCTTCTGAAAGAACCTATGGTGATATACGGTAATATTATTACAAACAAAGCAAGCAGGAAGCCTTTGTAGAAGGAATGCAGTGGAAAGTCGCTTCCATCCAATAGGGGACCTCTGTATCTCCAACAGTGTAGGCTGGCTCTCTCTCTCTCTCTTGCTTCATCGGATGATGTATTTAGCTGAGGTCAGCTGCTGCCTTGGGCATGTAACTTGTTCCTATATTGTCTTGCTATCAGAAGGGCCATTGCAATAATGTATATATGGTGAAATGTATATCAATCCGGGTACATAACATAATATACACTATAGACTATATAGAAGTTGTCAACAACTGTCAGGAGAGAGAGAAATTGCACCCCCCCTTGAAAGTGCTTGGTTTGCTGATTCAAGCAAGGGGTGTGCCGAAGGAAACTGTGACACCAACATCATGCGACGAAACAATTGTCTTCAACAAAGGCCACTTCAACAAAAACAACCATTATTTTCAAGTAGAAAGGCTGGGCGAAGGTAGCATGATGCGGCCAACTGGATTGATGCATGAATATTGATGCGTTCCACCAATGGTTTCCTTGCTTCCAGGTTAGGTTGCCTCAACAAACTGATCAGTAGTGCAACTTTGTGTGCAAATGTGAGTGACTGACAAAGTGCCAGGTATAGCCGGTATAGCCTCTCCGGAACTGACATAGTGCCCTCATGCTTGCGCCTGAGGTAGAGGAAAATCGTCCAGTCCAACTCTGTTAGCTTTGGGGGAGGAGTATAAAGAAAACACATGTTGATACATGTTGCCATTAATGTGCACATCCTGCTATATCATTTGCAGGGCCTTGGGCCTCAGGCTCCTGACTACCCACCCATGCAAAGCAAGCCGCCGGATCGCCTGACTTGTTCAAAACATAGCCTCGGCCATCAAATGGCTGTGGTTCACTCATGTTGTAACATGCACATGGCTAGTCCGAACATTCCAAACATCAAGTTGGTTCATAGCGAGTGACCAAACAGTGGCTTCTCCCCTGCACGAGCGCATCCACGACCAATGGGTGGATGCATTAAGTCGCATAGACCAGCACAATCTAGTGTTATGCTTGATCAACCATGATCAAATCATTGTCCCTCACCATGTGAAGGGGTCTTTAAGTCAGCTTTGGGCCTCCTCTGAGAGCCTTTCAAGCCCAACATAGCCCAGCTTTGTGGGGACATCTCTCAGCTGCATACAATCCACTACTAACGGTTTTGTGTCAAAAACCATCGCCTTGGTGGCTTCTTAAGAGGATCTGGCAGCTGAAGCCAATGGCTCAATGTAGGCCCAAAGCCTGACCAAACGTCCTGGCCCCTGGAAAGACCATGTTCCGAACAGAAAACAGGTCGTGCCATCCACTTCCATGTTTGGCCGGGAGGGTAGTAATTGTGTGTTGGTTCGCTGAGGCGTCCGCATTGCCGCTTTGCACTAGTGACCCAGTTCAATCCAACTACAGTAATGCCCTCATCTGGCGAAAAGTTTAGCAATCCTGATTGGAGGGATTGGCGGGTTGCACCCATACATTGGACCCATTCATCTACACGAGCCGCTCAAGAAACCCAATCCCATGCTGTTCCGGAGATGATCCTTTTTTCCAGTTCTCAGGTCTCAGGGGCCTCGAGACCTTCATCCACGTCCTGCGCTCCACCATCCATGGAGGTAGCCAAGGTGCAGCCGCCAGCGATGAAGCCTTCACCCACCATGTTTCCGGGCACCTGTGACCAGCCGGCTCAAACACACTGCCGGGTCAGACTAGCAGGACTGCACGTGATTGCACGGAGATCAGCGCGAAGAAATCACTGAAATCACCTTCGGATCTCTTGAGGAGTAGGTTTTCACCACACCTGCCTGCAGGAGAAGTGTTCCTCCCTCCGTCTTCCAAGTGAACCTGCAGCCAGACTCCAGCCACACCCTCGGTCAGCGCACCTTCTTCGCTTGGTTGCGCTTGATGTTGGCTTTCAACTTGCTTGTGCTCCACCTGGTCTTGTGCTTCATGCCAACTGAGAAGGTACCTCGCATGATCTCTCTATTTCCAAAACTGACTTCTCTGGACCTGTGCGGACGTGTGGGCTTCAAGGGTCCGTGGCATGTCGATCCACTGGACGAAGCGGACGCGTGTGGTGGTCCAGTGGTCCAGACGCTGTGTCGCACCGTCGGGCACAGTGACAACAAGACACGACCCATGAGGTCCTCAGCTGGATGGTGGGTGCTTGCAGTGTGTGCATCTAGTCTAAGAACATGCCCCCCCCCAAAAGGGCAAAAAATAAAAGGAAATCAATCCATTGGTTGAAGAGTCAAAACCCAAACCCCCCTTTTTGGATGTGTTTAGGTCACCCGTGGGCCCGTGGACCCCTGCAGTTGCTGAAAACATCTCCAACTATGGGAACTTACAAAGTCATTCCACCAACTCCATGGAAATGGCTGGATTGGATTGAACAAAGAGTAACCGAGTTAATTATATTATAGGAAAATCCACCAATCCCATGGCTCTTCGATGCTCCTCGCCTCATTTGAAGAGGATTCGCCTGACTAAGGCCGGCGACCTGTGGCACCTTGCGTCGCTTCTTGTCGCACCTTGCATCTGGGATGCCCGGCGGATTGAGCATGACCGCCAGGAAGCCCAAAATACCCACCGGCTGCCACACCTCGCAGCTAGTCGCTTCCCGCGCGCGAGGAATGCGCAAAGTGATGAATTCGTCCGGCTCTGCTCGTTGAAGATCCACATATATATATATAATGCTCACAACAAAATGCATCAGGAAGCTCATAAAATAGAATTCAGACTAATTATATAGTTATATAAAATATCCAAGAAAGAAAACACTTATGGACGTGATAAATACATTTAATCACACTATAAAAAGTGTATCTGCTTCTGCTGGTTGTTCTATTGCCAATAAACAATGCTTACACTCGCTTACAATATGTTGCAATTTTACAGTGTCGTAGGGCCGTAGGGCCATGCTTTATATAGCTGGAACCGAGCCTGGAAAATGTAACAGAATGAGGTCGAACAGCCTGGACCTTGCATAGTCAGTTAAACTGTATGCTTTCAAGTGTAGAAACCTGCATCATTCAAAACAAACAGGAAAAGGTGTTCCACCACCTTGTGTTGTATCAGCCTGACATGAGGGGTATCAATAAACATTATTGACGAAGCCTACGAAGCCGCTCGGAAAACCCGACTAGCCGAATAATATGGTATTGTCCTGCTCTCTTTCTCTCTCTCTCTCTATGTAAATGCATTAATTATATACAACTGCATCCTATGAATGTTTGTGCTAAAAATTATGTCATATTTCTCTCTCGGAGGGGGCCACTGGAAGGCCGATCTGTGTGGCAAGCCTTTCGTCACAAACACCAAGCAGCAGCTGAAGCATCAGCTAATCTGCGATTGCGACCCGGCCAAAACGCTCTGGCCATGCCACATCACCGCCGCCCAAGGCTTTGTAAAAGTTGTTTTCCTGGCTGCAAAGTCTGCCAAGCCAGTCAAAAACATTGAAGGAAACTGTAGACTAGTAAATGGAAAACCTCTCGCACTCCTAGTTGCATTCAGTAAAGGAATCAAATTTTAGCAACTTGAACTCAGGGTTTCATACCTGCATGGCCTGTATTCCCACCAAGGCTGGCAAACAATCAAAAAACATGGGTCAAGCTACCCCAGGCTACCGCTCCTTGTCCATGAGCACTTCTCCAGTCCAATAATCGCGTTCTGACGAGGCCGCAAAAACACACTAAGGAAACGCTGCTGGGAAAAATGAATCCAGGAGTTTGATGTGCAGTGATGTGCATCATTTTCAGCATCCGTTTTGGTCAAGTTGTGCCCATGCAAACAAGGGAAACCATGAACATAAAAAGGTTGTGAGCTGACCAGCCGTTCCAAAGGGATTGGACATCAAATCAGACTTAGACTCGTGAGTTACAGTAAGTTGATCGCAAAAGCAAGGGGCCCTTTGGGAAAGTTCTGGGAGCTTGCGATTTCTCTTTTTTGCATTAATAATGTAGATTTGATCATGCTATCAACGGAGTCCTCCTCGCCTTATTACAGTGGGAACTTCAGGGTGGACAAATCCGATGTGTTTCGTGCCTGTTTTCGTGCCAATCTTGCCGACGAACCACTTCTAAATTGTTGTTGCAAGTGTCTGTGCTCCTCAAAGCACCCCACATCCAAAAAGATAGCAGCATGATGCATCTCTGCGTCCGGTAGTGGCGTGCTCTATCTCAGGCGGTGCAGTTAAAAAACATACTAAAAGGATCTAAAAGGAATCACAGGTACTCTTGTGATCTCTTGCGCATCTCTAGCTAAACAATTGTGAACATCTCTAGCAGCTGGCAGCCTGCTTTCGAGTGATTTCCTGCACTTCCAGGTGCCGAACCCAAATCTCTACTCTTTTTTTTGGCCTTCCACTACCAAAGGCTACTAGGAACAATGTTCGCTACTAGGAGGCTCCTGGCATCGCTACCAACGGAGCGATCGGACGCTACGAACGGACCTTTTTGGCCCATGGGAGTGGTGTCCGGGGTGAACGTGTTCGTCCCCGATCCACGGGGCTCGGGGGTCGCGACTGACCGAGGCTCGGAACTCTTCGACCTCCTTCTCCAAGTCCTCTTTCACCAGTGCGACCACCCGAGTGGCGCCAGCAGCTTTGTAGTCATCCTAGGCAGCGGTTTTCCCGCACGGCGCGGAGGGCCAAAGCCGGTGGCCTTTTGGGGGATCCATGAGCCCTGCTGACGTGGAAAGGACATACTACGGAATACGTGACGGCGCCCAGTCCCAACGAGTCCCAACGAGTCCCGGCCATGAAAGACCAGGTCAGTAGGATGACCAGCTCAAGGCTGGCTGATGGGACGCAGCTTGAATTCATCTGATACATCAACATCTTCAAGGATGTGCCATGAGCAACGACTAAGCTAAACATGCTAAAAAATGCTAAACATACGTTGTTGGCTGGGATTTCTTCATCTTAAGATATCTTAAGTGGTTTCACCTCGCTTGAGCCATATGAGCTGCTACCTGTTGTTTCATCTTCAGCCAGCTTCTGCGATTACCTCGGCACAGCCTTTTGGGTTCCGCTTGGTTGGGTTGGCTGGCTGACTGGGTGGCTGGCCGGCTAGGTTGTTGGTTGGTTGGGTTGGTGGGTGGGTGGGTTGGTTGGTCTGTTGGTTGGTTGGTTCGTTGGTTGGTTGGCTGGCTGATTCGTTGGTTGGTTGGTTGGTTGGTTGGTTGGTGCCGATTCTCCTTTTCAACAGGCTTCCAGTAGTATCGCATGGACGCCGCATATGATTCTCTGGCGCCTGTATATATACGTGAATGATGTTGAACGTGCTCCACGGAGTTGTCACGTATTCATCAGGGATCTGGCAACCTGATCTGTTCGATGACCCTGACACGAAAGGGCCCTGTACCCTTCCTTAGACCATGTAAAACCGCAAACCGCAACACAGGCCCCAGGAAGGTCCTACCCCAACCCAAGATGAAATATACACTGTTTTGGCTACCAAGCTGCAGCTGTCAGCTGTCTGAGCTGATTCTGCATACAAACTCTTACATATCCCAAAATGAAAGAAAACAAACACTATAAAGCCACAGTCAAAGTGAGGAAAGCCAAACATGAGCGGATCAACGCACGTCAGTCAAGGCAGGCCACGGCAAATCAATTGTAAACATCACATGCTCCACCTGCAATACCGGGTCTGTTTGCAATCACTAGTTCCACCTAGTGGTTTTCTTTCGTTCAAGCGCCTCGCAGTCAGACGCTATCCAACGATCAAACCCGTCGAGGGACGAAGCGGGCCGCGGCCTCCTTGGCCTCCTGCATGCAACATCAGATTCTGCGATCTGTGATTCACAAGCCTCTCAAAGCTTGATATATCTACACCATCTATATGTATAAGCGTATATATATAGTAATTGTACATGTTATACTGTTCATGCTGCATTACAAAGTTCAATTGGGAAAGCCATTCAGTCATAGGAACACATGTCCCGCCACCCAGGAGTCACGCCATCCCATATATGTCAGCAACAACTTTCACATGTCAGGCCTATCGAACTGTTGAGTGGACCTTAAGGAAGCCCATTCCTTTAGAAATCTTGGCTAACATCAATCTCCAATCTGATCACCTCGGTGGGGACACCCCGATTGGCCATCGCGCAATCACCCTGGGCCAACGTCTCGCGTGTGTCACAGTAGGTCACACACGTGTGATTTCGGTCCAGCACCTACTAGCTAAGTTGAAGAGTCGCTGGTGAGGTTCGTGCCTCTGTATGCGCAGGAATGATCAGGTATTGGAGTGTGGGCTACTTTCGGGCCAAACTAGGCTGTAGGAGCACTTGCAAGGACTGGTATGATAGGGATAGGGTCATAGCCCGCTCTCCCCCGATCCCGCCTCCCTGCACATGCCTGTGCGCCATTGTGTGCTGTTGCCGCTGGGCGATGGTGTGGGGAGCTGTTTAAAGGAAAACGCACTTCTTTGACTTTGTGCATCCACCAGCGCCAAGGCCGCGCCAAGGGTTCCTGTTCGATCCTATGGAGTTCCGTTCCAAAAACAATCTTTGCACAAAAGGTTCATCGGGTTTCTGCACGGAACCCTGAGGCCAATAGAATCAGACACATCCAACTCAGCTCTAGCGAAGATTTGACTTCCAAATCTGTCGAGGGCCACTAAACCATCACCACTGCGCCCCTGTGCTGAAGGCCACACGACTGTAAGCACATGGAACACCAGCAATTGATTCAATACGTGATTCCACCAATCCGTGCGATATTTAACCCTGGTAGACACTTTCAAGTTGCAATGTTTACACATGTTTATGCCGTATACACTGTACATGTCCATAGAAATGGACTCTGTCGGGCAGTGTGCGAAACCAACCCGGAGACCTTTACCCTCCAAAAGTAGGGTGAACTCTCTGTCCCTTCTTGTTTCTACTAGCAAACATTGTTTCGAATAGCTTCTTGTTACTACTAGTAAGGCACTTGTTACTAGAAGCGATGCACTTGTTCATAGTAGCTTATTGTTTCTACTAGCAAACATTGTTACTACTAGTAAGGCACCTGTTACTACTAGCGTGGCACTTGTTACTACTAGCTCTCTGTCCCTCTCTCCAACCAGTGGCACTACTTGCTCCATTTCTCCCTGCCAAACGGTCCACCGTCTCCCTCGCCCTCCGGGCACTAGTCACACTCCGCCTCAGCCCGGGCGGCGGAAGGCGTAGACCACGGCAGGGCCCTTGGCCACCAGCTCGCTGGCCGGGAAGGGTTCACCTGGCACCGGCACTTCTGACCACGGTGGCGTGCGACCGCTTGGGACCTGCACCGGTTGAAAAGCCATTTCTTCGTGGAATGTCTCCTCTTTCTGGTGGAACAGGCGGTGAAAATGGACGTGTGACATCGTGTGACTTGTCGTTCTCTCGACTCATCATGCCTGCTTGATCATTCATGTGGCCTACAGTTCTGGATGTCAAAGCCTCAGGATGTCTAATGACCGAACTGACACTCTTTCCTGCAATCTTTAGGAAAACAACACCCATCCCATCCCAATTGTCTAGCTCAACCACTCTGTCCCTGCGGGAGGCTCCACCTGACCCCGCAGGCAGCGGTGTCAGCATGGTGCTCATGGGCGGAGCTGCAGGGGCGGGCATCGTGGCCAAGGACCTGGCCTGGCGGAGCTGTGGAGCTAAGTTCCAGACCTGAAACCGTTGGCTGGGAGGCAACAAACACAAAAAGGAACAAAAAGGCCCCTGACTGACGTGCATTCCTGACAGATCCAAAAATTAGGCAATCTATGACCATGTCCAATTTTTTAGATAACATGTGATGGTCGTGCTTGGTCGTACTAAAGCAATTTGATACGGATGGTCTGGCTATGTTTGCTTCAGGATATGGGTCAACATACTCAGGGTCCACGAGCAAATGAACGAAGCTGCCGACTTCGTGGAACAGAAGCCTCTTCTACATCATCAGCGTTTCGCGTTTCGCAAGCGAAACAGGGTTTCAACAGTTCAGACCTCTGAACGCCTTGAAACTGAACGGTCGGCCTGCCGATTGGTTGGACATCGGTGGACCACAGGATTGTCCAAAGTTGAATGCACGGTGTGTATGACCCTACAGTGGTTTCAGCAGTACATGGAACAAGTCCCCGTGGAAAACTGACATGAATTGAACGGAAAGGTGTCGGCACAGGCTTCCGCCCATCCACTCTGAACCCCTTTCATCCAAGCAGCTGCTCGAAAGGCTAAGGTGCCACGCATCTCTTTGAGCCCAATCAGCGGGACGCGAAACGCATGCAGCGCCATGTGAAGCACGATGAACAGTAGGGCTGTCAGAAGAAGACTTAAAACCAACCGTGGGGTTCCAGCTGCCCCAAAAGGCTAAAGGGTCTACTCGCACAGTTGGTTCTTCGGTTAAAAGGGTCTGCTGTGACAGCCCTGCGACCTGTTTGCCCTACAGCCAGTGGTCTCGACACACCCCAGTCCTTTGCAATAAAAAGACTTACCATGGCCATACGAAGAACCAAGCTGCCAAAAAGCAAAGCATAAAGCGGCCCACTTCGGTGCGGTTTTCGTTGTCATGCTGAACAACCTCGCCATACACAAACGCTGAATTCTATTGGCTAGCCAGTCGGTCAGACCCTCTCCACTCCCGTCGAGCGCGCCAGGACGTACACTTGGCGCCCGTCACCTGTGTGTTCTGTGAGTGTTGGCTGAGGGTTATGATGTCGTGAAAGATCGTGAAAGTCTAGCTGAATCCTGCACCTCCCTCTCTCTCCCCCTATCTCTCCTTCCTTGCATGGAGACAAATGAAACAAGTACTAAGTAACAAGTCAACATCCTCAGAATGATATTCCAAAAAATAAGTCTCTCCTCCACCGTCCGCTGCCTTCCAGCAGCTGGGTCGACAACACAGATCGCTCTTGCACCATAAGAGGGCATCTGGTTTCAAACTGGTTGCACTGCATAGTCTGAAACCGCGCCAAACATGACTAACTATTGCAAGAGGTCAGCAATATGGACTCCCCCAGCATCTCAAAAGGCGGGGGATGCAAGTAGTGGCCCCTTCGGAACCAATTGATCGGAGTCCTGGGAGAATCTCTCCTGCATTCCACCTAGATGCCCATGAACCACGCCGTCTTCTTTCCCCTAAAGCTATGAGCCGACAGCAAACGCCGCGTCCGCTCGGTTGGGACAGCGAATCCTGGAGTCAAACCTACGGGCGGCTTGGAACACCTCGCAGTCTTGGAGCCCCCTGTCTAAGAACATGGCGAAGCAGGACCCATCCTGATAACAGGGACGGCTGATGGTGCAAAATAGCAAGTGCACAACGGTGTACATTAAAGTTCTGGTTCTTGCACCTGTGTCATTTTGGTCTTGTCATGATTGAAACACCCTCCCAATCCAGTGCTTTTCTGTATCCCAAGCCAGCCGCTACGACCTCAGGGCAGGCCACGACCTCCATGGTGTGCCACGACCTCCATGGTGTCTTTGTCGGGAAGCTTCCCTTAACACCAGCACTCACAGGGCTGTGTCCACAGCTGCTTCAACACAGCTGGTTTCACAAGCATAATCCCTCCCACCTAATTAAACAAACACGTGCCCCCCCCCTCCTATAACGAAAACACAATTTTCTTGAATAGGGGTCCCTGAAATAGGGGTTGTCCAAAATAGGGTCAGTGAGAGGATCCTTTAATCATTGATTAGTTACACATGCAATGCAGATTTCCTGGCGGGCGCAGCGCTTTGTGAAGTTTGAAGTGCAGATTTCGTGCAGAAATCTGGGAAGAAATCTGTTTATATATTATATAATTACATAAAATCCTGTATTCAAGTCGTATCAAAAATTTAAAAAACAACCTCCAGATCGAAGGGGCTCCCTTTCCCCCTTACAAAAACCTTTGTTAAACTAGTGATTCTTCATGAGACTAACAACTAAAGCTTTCGTGGATAGACGGGGTGGACAAAGGTGGGCAGTTAGGGTTGCTTGTGGAACCTGATATTTTTTTTTAACAACTGATCCAAAATCGGCAATGTTGGTAGCTTAGTAGCGGTTTCAAAGGGCGGTAATTTTAAAAACAAATATATACCGTATACTATACCGTATTTAGGGGTCTCCGGTATGATTTTCTATTTTAATAGGGGAACGTTTTTGTAATAGTAATAGGTACTCGGGATTAATGTTTGGTGGTCAAAGACCTATGGACACCATGGGTGGCATAGGATCTATCTGAGTCTGGGAGGCCATTCGTCTGTCGAGAAACCCCCAAGAACAAAAGATGTATATATATGATTCGATTCTGAATCATTAGCGAGAACTTGCTCCTTGAATACCCTTGAGTAAAACTGCCGCATCGCTCACAAAAGGAGTGACAACATCCAAAAACAATGTGGAGCAAAAACATCAAACAACATATAAATATAAATACATGCAAATATATATATATATGTGTGCCTTTTGATTTGTTTTCATGTTCTTTCGTGTCAAAGCACGGCATACCACGTCTGTTCCTGGGGTTTGGCAGGGCCTTCTCCTGGGAGAAGTTCCGGAAAGCACCTCCTGAAGTCAGTCATGCTTGCCACGAGGGCAAAAGCCTGCCCCTTGGCAAAAAAGAAACTAAACACGTTTTAAGCATGTGGCACTGGATCAAAGCATGTCAAAACTTGTGCTCGTGGCCACTGCAGTGGTCAGTCATCTCTTCGGAACCCTTTCTCCATACTTTACATATTATACCTTCTTGAGATCTGGGTTTTGATCCACGGCGCCATCAAACAGCTACAACTCGGCTGAGCATGCGGCTGAGGATGCTAAAGCTGCTACAGGGCATGGTTTCTCGCTGGTTCATGAACCTCTCCACAGTGAAACATCACATGGCTGTAACTGCCGGATCTGCATCCAAAATTTTGTGGGCTGATATGTTCAGTTCAAACCACCCAAAAGGAAATACATGGACTCTGGTCGACCCGGGTAAGGTGATCCATCAAACCCTTCTCATCTTCACCAACCGGAACTTGACGCCATCATTGCACTTTGGCCAATCGATGGGTGGTCCAAAGCAACTAACAAAAGATGCTACAAGCCAACAGCCGCTTGATGTTGTCCTCTTGCACGTAGGAAGCAAACAAATCGGTCCATTGTGCACTTACGATCAACAACAGAAAGTACAAAGTGTGAGATGTGTGCAGGGATACATGGATATTTCAATCGTGGACTAGACAAGTCCTTCGGTCCAACAAAGGCGTTGCTTGATTGTACCTCATCCACTCCCACATCCTGCAAGCCAGCGACTAACGAACCCAAATGAACCCAACATATGAAGCCTATAGGTTGTTGACAGGTTTCCGTCGCATACACTGCCTGGAGTCATCATGGAAGTGGAAAGTGGCCCCTTGGATAGCAATGTTCCTCAACAAACAGGTGACATTATTCCAGGGAATGTGCCTTGTTATCTGATGCTTAGGCTCACAGCTGAGTCTAGCAGTGAAACAACTGGCTCTGTTGGGCCCTGTTGTGGAAAACTGATATACGAAGTAGTTTCATCGCCTCTTGGACAACGCAGTGGGGGTAGAGCACTATTTAATCTGCAAAATATACATAATCATATAAAACCATTGATAGAACAAAACGCGAGGCAGGCTTTATGGATCCAACTATCTACTAGTTGTTGAACGGCTTGTGCCAGCTATCTCTCTACATATACATAGATATACTTACCGCACATCTGACAAAAATCATTCTACACAAAGCATGCACCGGTTTGTTGTAAAGAACTAGCCGTAACTAGCCTGTGCTAAACAAACAAACATAGATTGTTGATATAAAATAGTATATTTATGTGTTGAACACGGTTGAAGAACCATATACAGTAGTAGTGTTTTTATCGTCAAAACAAAAAGCAATTCTTCGCAGCTCCGTGGCAATCAGTTCAGCAACCTGTTGGCTTGGCCGGCAACCCTGTCACTGTCAACAGAGCATTGCCAAACGGTTCAACAAGAACCGTTTGTCTGCTCCCGGTGGCCTTTGGACCAGCACCATGTGGTGCAAGTTGTGGGGAACCGTCCTACGGCTCGCCCGTCAGAAAAGCACAAAGAGTGCCGCCGGCTGCAACTGGGCCGCGACGTCTACATCATTCATCGCCGTGACCTGTACGTAGATGGTACGGGTCAAAACGAGGACCTCAAATTGGTACGGCTTCCATTGACTACGTGTATAATTTATTTTTTGAAAGCTATCTTCCGTTGACATCCGTTTACCTACCACTTTGTGTTTCTTTGCCATCGTCCACTGCACTGCTCTTTCCCGGTTCGTGGGAGCGCCTCGGCCTCACAAACTGGCCGTGGCTGGAGACATGGTACCTGGAGCACGAAACTCTTCGACCGTCGGTCGTTGTTTCGTGCCGTCATCGGAAAGCAAACACGGCGGCGTTTCACGACGAAGATTATGTCAAACGGGATGAAACCTGGGTCCCACGGATATATATACAGTGTATAAATACACACATAAGCTAGAAAAAATATATATAATATACATATAGTTATACATATATTTACACATGCACAGCTCCAATGACAGGGGTGTGACTCAAAGTAAAACTCAACAGTTCCAAGGGAATTCACCATCTGATCGGGCGCCCTGGACGGAGTCAGCCGCTTTTTGTGCGGACCTGTGAAACCTGCTGTCCATTTTAGACAAGAGATGTGCCAAATACATGATCAACAATGACAAGAAGCACTGAAGTCACTGAATTTGAAGAGGTAGAAGCTCTCTCTCTCTCCCTCTCTCTCTCTCTCGCTCTTTCTCTCTAGTGGATCGGAAGAACCGCTGAAGTTTTTGCGCTTCTAAATCTAGTTTCCATATTACCAGTTTAGTGCAAACTGATCCTGAAGAAATTGCCCCGAGAAATGAAGCTCGGACCGCATTACCCCAAACCGTTTTGAAGAAATTGCCCCGAGAAATGAAGCTCGGACCGCATTACCCCAAACCGTTTTGAAGTCGTCTGCCTGATGAGCTTGTCCCCAATAAATCCAATAAACATGATATCTTGACTTGACCCCTGCTCTAAACAGCTCCTACTTGACGGTCCCGTTCTCGCTCACGGTCTGAGACCACCCCAAATGACCGACTGCCCAACTGGACATATGTCGACTTCAACAACCCCCCAATTGAAATCTGATGAAACATGTGTCGAACATCGTGAAGCTGTGCACTCTAGCGTGCCGCCCCCCCGAAACACATGGCCTGCGCTCAGAAGGCTTAGAGGAATGGCCAGGA